GCTGACAGCCCTTACTGTGGTCCAGGCAGCAGGCAGACCTGTGCCCTCTGTTCCTATACACATGAGGGTGGTATACCTGGCGTGTGCACATAACCACCCAGCCTAGAAACACACCCTAGTCCCACACATGTTATCATAAACATGCCTGCATTTCTAAGTGTCAATATTCATGCTTCAAAATGGGGCCAGAAAAGCACAGCCATATTAGCAAGCCAACTTAACAACACACATGCACCCATCGTATATAGCTGTCAGCACACAGCCGCATCACGCATCCCCCATCAGTGCGCAAATCCATCAGATACACCCATTATATGCACGCACTCATCACCTGTACCACAAGCATGCAGACACACCATCCCAGAAAGAAGTTACACCTTCAAGTTGAAACTACCTCTCTGGTGTTTCTCCTAACATATTTGAAAAGTGTCTTATTTATGACTTTCAAAAGATTCATTGTTATTATTTAAAATTATGTGCATGTGTAGGTCAGAGGCCAGAGGAATGAGATTTCCTGCTGGAACTGGAATTACACCTTCTGTGCATGCTGAGAATTGAACTTGGGTCCTCTGGATGAAAATGCCTGCTCTGAACTGGTGAGCCAGTGCTCCAGCTCCAATTTGTGGTGTTCTTTATCCTGCTGTGCTTCTGTATTGACTGTTATGGCACCAAACATGGGGCTCTGAAAATAGACTACTTTTTACTGGAGGAGTCACCTGGGTGGACGCAGTCTAATCCCTGATCCAATGGAAAGCCGGCCCCACATGGCCTGACCCAGTCACCCCACTCGGATTGGAGGCTTGGAGTGCAGTCTACTTGTGGTGGGAGGGGCCACCCAATGCCACGCCTAAAAATGCTGTTCTTCATAGTTTTGAACCTAGGAGCATCTCTGAAAGCCTCTGAGAGGCAACATCCTGCATCTACAGATAGCAGAAGGCTTTTTCCCAGGTTCTCTCAGACCTCCCTTGGTTTGATCAATGTCCATTTGTTTATTCTGCGCTGGTTTTTTAAGCATCTTGTTTGGTAGCTCCCTTTCTGTCCCAAAATAGATAGCTATTTTGTTTGTTGTTGTTGCTTGTTTTGGTTTTTTAAGACAGGGTTTCTCTGTGTAGCTTGGCTGAACTCAGAGATCCACGTGCCTCTGTCTCCTTAAAGGCAAGAGCCACCACTGCCAAGCTTCCCAAGTCTTGACACTGCTCTCTGCCTTCCTACCTGTCTGAGCTGTCTGAAACACCAGCAGCTTCAGCAGGGAGGAGTCCACTGGCTTCCTCCCTCACAGTGTTCTGAACCAGAGGTTGACTTTTCCAACTTTTGAGATCGAAATAAGTACATTTAATCTGCACATGTTGCCTCTTTATAAGATGTTTTAAAAGGTAGTTGGGAAAACGGCTGTATGGGACAAGTCTGTGTTCCCCAATGCAAGAGAAGAGGTTGACCAGCATAACCAAATCTAGGTAAGGGTGCCAAAGTCCAGATGTATGCTTAATCCAAAACTTACATTTCTTTCATTTCTTTCCTCTCCCTTTTCTTTCATATACAAATACAATCATAGGGAATATGATTTGTTTTCACTGTAAATTTAAAAAAACACATTCATATATATGTGCGCATACACACACACACACACACACACACACACACACACACACACACGCGCGCGCGCGCGGCTTAAAACAACACTGAGGAAAACATTTTCACCGGTAAAAGCATCTCCCTCTGGGCTGTGCAACTCTTGAAGAAGGAAGCGATAATATCTTCAGTCTGCATGACAAGTGCCACCTTTTGATCTTTTAAGCTACTATCTTATTTTGGGTTTCTATTGTTGTGATAAAACACAAAGACCAAAAGCAGCTTGGGGAGGAAAGGGTTTTTTTCAGCTTACACTCGGGTCACACTTCTTCACTGAAGAAAATCAGGTAGGAGCTGATGCAGAGGCCATGGAGGGTGCTGCCTACTGACTTGTTCCTCACGGCTTGCTCAGCCTGCTTTCTTATCGAACCCAGGACCCCCTGCCCAGGGGCGACACCGTCCACAATGGGCAGGGTCCTTCTGCATCAATTATTTGTGAAGAAAATGCTCTACGGGTTTGCCTACAGGCAATCCAATAGAGTGTCTTCTCAACTGATGCTCTTTCTTCCCAGATACCCTAGCTTCTGTCCAGTAGACAAAAAAACTAAGCAGCACAGCTACTAACTCTTTCTCACATCCGGTGCTGGGGATCAAACCCAGGTCCTCTGGAAGGGCAGCCAGCAGCTAGAGCTCTCAACCCGTGAGGCAGATCTCCAGCTCCTGCCTCACATCTTTTTGTCTGTTTGTTTGTTTGTTTTGGTTTTTGAATCCTGGCTATCCTGGAACTCACTCTGTAGACCAGGCTGGCCTCGAACTCACATAGATTCGCCTGCCTCTGCCTCCCAAGTGCGCGTGCCACCACCACCTGGCATCTCGCTTTAAAGATCTAGGGATATAAACTTTCTACTTTTTAAATGAGTGCCCCTAGATCCCACGTAATTGTGTCATGTGTGTCTATGCTAATTGCTTTTATGTATTGTTTGCGTGAAAAGCAATTTAAAAAACTCTGGCTACTTCATTTCTTTAAATTTATTTTTATCATGTGCTAAAACTGCTATTTTTATTTTTGGCATCCCTAGTTAAAATATACATGTATGGATTTACAGCTGTACTTTGGTGATATATTAACCTGATAATTCCAGGCCTGGTGGTGCATGCCTTTAATCCCAGCAGAGGCAGAAACAGGTGGAGCTCGGTGAGGTCCAACTAGCCAGGGCTATATAGAGAAACTCTATCTTGAAAACCCAAAAAGGGGCTGAAGAGATGGTTCAGTACTTAAGAACACTGATTGCCCTTCCACAGGACCCAGGGTTGTTTCCCAGCACCCAACTTCAAACATTGGTAACTCCTGTTTCAGTGGATCTGACACCCTCTTCAGGCCTCCTCACGTACCAGGCACACAGGTGTGGTACACATACTTGTAGGCAAGACATTCCTTCACACAAAATAAAGATGATACTACTACTAATAATAATAATAATAATAATAGGATTTAAAGGTCTAATAAACACATGCTACCTTATAAACTTGAGTTCTCTGAACATCTTAAAATCTATTAAAATGATCTTTGAGTCTATTAAGGGTTTTATAAAATCTTATAATACTAATTATATAAAGCCACATTCATTAGAGTCATAAGATAAAGATTTTACTTATCTATAAAATTTATCATGCTTATATCTATATAGAGAGATAAAAATTGCGTTCCAAAACAGGTCCCAAGTAACTTCATTAATTTAATTTAAAACTTCACTTCATTTGTATAATAGTCATAGGCTCATAAAAATCATATCAAAATATTCTTTTTTAAAAAGAAATCTGATTTTTATTATTTTTATTTCATGTGCATTGGTGTTTTTGCCTGTGTGTATGTCCATATGAAGATGTCAGATCCTCTGGAACTGGAGTTATAGACAGTTGTGAGCTGCCATGTGGGTGCTGGGAATTGAACCTGGGTCCTCTGGAAGAGCAGCCAGTGCTCTTAACTGCTGAGCCATCTCTCCAGCCCCCAAATACTCTTAATATAAAACTGTCTCCAATCGCAAACAAGACAGTCATAGGGTACATATGGCTGTCAGTATGGGGGAGTACATCTAGCTTTTTTTTTTAATGTGTAAATTTGTGGGGCTGGAGAGATAGCTCAGCAATTAAAAGCATAGGCTGCTCTTCCAGAGGTCTTGGGTTCAATTCCCAGCACCCACATGGTGACTCACAACTGTCTATAACTGTAGTCTTGTGGGATCTGATGACCTCTTCTAGCATGTAAATAAAATACACATATACAGACAGACATCTTTTTTAGAAAATGCAAATTTTGGGGTTAGAGAGATGGCTCATCAGTTAAGAACACTGGCTGCTCTTCCAGTGGTCCTGAGTTCGATTTCCCAGCACCCACATGGTGGCTCACAGTCATCTGAATAGGGCCTGATGCCCTCTTCTGGCATAAAGGCGTGCATGCAGAGAACTCTGCATGTATAAATAAATAATTTTTTTAAGTGATGTAAATTTTCATTGGTTAAAATTTGTGTGCCCAGAGCTGGGGAGCTAGCTCGGCAGTTAAGAACACTTACTGCTCTTGCAGAGGACTTGAGTTTGAGTTCCAGCACCCAATGCCCCCAAAACTATCTGTAACTTCAGTCCCAAGAGGTATGATGCCCTCTCCTGGCCTCCACCAGCACTGCACTCATGTGCACAGACCCACAGATAAAATCTTTAAAGGGAGGGTGGTTTGTAACCCCCAAGTTGCGGAGAGAGAGGCACATGGCCTAGCAAACAGGGAGCTCCAGGTTCAGTGACAGGGTTCCGTGACAATTTCCTCAAAACTGAAACACTGTCCAGGAGACAGGAGGCTCAAGAGCCTCAGGAAGTAAACCAAAGTTCATAGGTCTGGGAGAACAAAAACTTGCCAAGAGTCCAAAAGGTCCCTCCCCAGAAAATAAGGAGGAGGAGATGCTGCTGGAGAAGGGCGCTGAGCTGATGCCTCCGAGAGGGGACAGTGGGTTGTCAGCGGACTCACAGTGCTCAGAGACCCTGCTGCTGCTGCTGTCACCTGCGCTGGGTGGGCTTTTCAGGGAAGATCTGCTTCTGAGTCATCCCTCCCCTGAGTAACCCCTCACCACGCTCCTGTGTGTAACACCGATAAAACGCACTGTTTCACCAACTCAGCCTTGGACTGTAGTCGGTTCTGGGCTCCCATTCTGGGACGAGGAGATGTGTGCATGCATGTTGTATCTCCCCAGGAAAAGCCTAATCACGCACACGCGGCTAAGGAAAAGGAGATGCTCCATGTGTGACACAGCTGTGGCCATGGGATTTCCCTTTCTGAGTGATGCTCAGACTTCTAATCTAGAGTGCAGACATCTTTGACCTTGACACCTAAACCCCTCCCCCCAAACCTTCTCCCACAAGAAAAGACTGACAGCAACTTTAGAAATTCGACAAGTTTTAAATATGTTAGCAAAATATTAACATTAAATATACATTATAAATAAGCCTTATAAATATAAAAGTGATTAAAAACTGATAAAAAAAAATCAATAAATTAGTCATGTCTCTCCAAGTAATTAATTACTCATCCGCTTTTGAGTCCCCTTCTGGGAGGACCGGTTCAGCATGTGAAAATTCCACAACACACCACCAGAGGGAGCAACAAGCAGCGAGGACCCAAGACGGGGCTTACAGGCGCTGGGAGAGCTCCCATAAACCCACCCTATGACCGTTTGCGCCCTATGTTCCCATTTACAGAGACTTTGATGTCCACCTATGTCAGAGTCCAGCAGCTGACAGACGGTGAGAGCCTTAAATAAGGACCCAAACACACACACACACACACACACACACCACAGCTTTACATAGAGAAAGCTGACCCTCAGATATATAAAGTCCACAGTCATACAGAGACTCAGGGAACAAGCCAAGGCCCTGAGCTCTCTTCCCCTGAACTTCTCGATCTGTGTTCCTTTTAGGATATTCTGCCCCTGTTGCAAAGGGCAAACGTGAGGTCTCCCAGACATCCAGGTATCTGGTCTGGGTGGGATGAGACTCAGGAGAGAGCCCTAGACCTGACCTCCCCTTTGGAACTCAGCCACAGGGAAAGGAGGAAGTCTGGAGGCAACAGCTTCAAGTCATGAGAGGAAAGGACCAACAGCCTGGGGGGTTCAGCCCAGCCGTGAGTCAGTGTGTGTCATCAGACCCCTGAATCAATGGAAAGCCAGCCCCACGTGGCCTGACCCAGCCGCCCCACTCGGATTGGAGGCTTGGAGTGGGGCACCACAACCTGACTACCCTTGCAGTCCAGTCATGGTGGGAAGGGCCACCCGACGCCACACTTTAAAGTGCTGTTCTTCATAGCTCTGAATACAGGAGCATCCCTGAAAGCCTCTGAGAGGCGACATCCCGCATCCACAGACTGTGCTGTGTCCGTCAGTGTATCCTCAGGCTACCGGGGCACCTGGACCCTGGATTCGGAGCTCTGGCTGCTCCTGGAGGGTCTGATTCTGCGGGCTCCTTTACGCCAGCCCCGGAACAGGCTGTGTCGCGGACTGTGTCTCCGTCTGCGACTAGAACCATCTCCCCACTCCCTGATGACCCTCCCTACTGAGCCCATGAAGCTGTGGTAGCCCCACAGGAAGCGGCAGCTGTCTAGCTTGGCCTGGAAAATGCTTGGTGTCGTGGTAGTGGGCAGCAAGGCCCCAGAGTCTGCCTGTGTGGGCTCAGGTATCTCCAGGTGATGGTGGAGCAGCTGGGCCAAGCAGTAGACATTGTTCCTGATGCCTTGGATGTTCCGCCTGGCCCTCTCCAGCTCTGGAAAATCCTTAATGTTCAGAAATTGCTGTCTTAAAGCACCCAGTTGGTGCCAGACTCTGCCCAGTGTGACGTGGACAGTGTTCAGGAAACGAGGCTTGTTCAGTGCCCGTAGCATGTCCTCACGTGGGAAAGTCACAGGGGGCTTGGTGCAGGCATCTCTCAGGATAGTTGTGTTCAGGCCTTGGTGGAGGAGCTGAAAAAGGAAGAGAGTGAGGGATGCATGCCAAAACCCCGCAAATACACACAGATCAACCTGCCTTTGCTGCCTTTGAAACCCTAGATCTTGTGTGATCTTGCCAGCAAAGAGATACAAAAGCCAAGGTAGAAGAGATAAGTCTGAGCTACAGAGACGGGACGGGAGGGCTGCCGGGGCCATGGGGGTCACTGTGGGCAGTGGGTGGGGTGAGGGTCCCTAGGTGCAGTGGGGGCTGCAGAGACAGGACAGGAATGCTACCGGGGTCTGGGGGGTCAGTCACTGTGGGCAGTGGGTGGGGTGAGGGTCCCTAGGTGCGGTGGGGGCTGCAGAAGCACTGGATTAGTTCACTCACTGCCACCTCTGAGAACCTAGAACATGTGCCAAACCATCAGGTGACAGCAGGTGGTCACCGAGGGACGGAGCTGGGAGCCAGGCAGCTCCACTGTCCCTAGCAGAACGCCGTTCCCTCTCCTGTCCCTAACGGGACCTCCATGTGTTCACTCTCTCACTAGTCCCTAAGATTCTCTGGGGCTCAGGTACCCTGAGGGTTGGCTGGGGCTTACATAGGGCTTCATGAGTGATTCCGTGTTCCCCGTGATGTTCGCCTGATTCAGCAGCTGGCTGAGGAGCTGTGCAGAAGAACTGGAGCAGCCGCGTGTGGCCCGTGCCATGCTCAGGAACAGGAGCCTGAGGACCAGACCTGGGACAGACAGGGAGGGTATGGTTACCTGCTGGTGGCATGGACAACCCTCGTGCCTGGTTGTGCAGCTCAGAGTGAGAGCTGGGCATGGAGCAGGCACTGATCTGCACAGAAGCCCTCACTGAGGGCTTCACCTTCCCAGTGAGTCACCACACAGAGCAAACAGGGTGTGGGGGCGGCTGCAATTACCAAGCATGAAAGCTGGGTGTTTGCACACGGCATCCCTGTTGGCCTTGGATCCACTAGGAGGCGGCTGGCCTCACACAAGGTTTGGTCTCGACCTAAGACTGACTGGTCAAGTCCCTGACTCCCTTCCATGTAGGCAGAATGAAGTAGTGGACTTGGGTGCACCGCCCCCCTCCCCCAGGGCAGCGGCTCAGCTAAGCTCTGTTCACAGAGCCGGGGAAGGCACTCTCCACCTAAGGGACACCCAGTCTACGGAAAGGTAAACTAGGTGCAAGAGAAGGTCCTGCCCAGGTCACACATGCCCACAACTCTCCTCGACCTTCCTGCCCTTCCGTCAAGAAGCCCCACACATACACACACCAGGGATACTGGGAGTCCCCAAGAAGGTCGTGGGGGTGAGGGTAAACTAACATAGTTCCAGTTCGCTGGCCCCCACCCTCAGGCACCGGCAGCCACGTGGTCGGAAGGGGCCTGTGGTGCAATGGCCCGGAAGGCTGTGACACCATCCTTCCCTTCCTACAAACCGACCAGCCCCTTGGGGAGGGCCAGCTGCTGGGGAGGGTCAGGAGCCCAGGCGTGCCAACCACAAGTCCCCTCCCCAACTTCCCCAGGTGTCTGTAGCTACACTGCCAGGGAGGGCCCACAGTGAGCATGTAACCAGTGCACGTGGGCCAGAGCCTGTAGGGGTGTGCCCATAGGCTGCGTGAAGCCCTGGGGGTACCCTCCCTGTTCATGGGGGTTCTGGTCAGCAGGTAAGCCTTCCTATATCAGTGTGTGGGAAGACCCTCACCCACACTGATGGCTTTGTTGCTTGTCTCCGTGGGGGTGTGGCTGTGCATGCAATGAAATGATCTGAGGCCCTCAGACTCGGCTGAATTTCCATCTACCCTAGACCCTGGGAATTGAATCAGGGCAAGAAGGAGGCCCCATCCCAGGACTTGCCCCACTTCCTCACAGGTCTCCTGTAACTTCCTTTTCTGTGCCTCTCCCATCTGCCCCCGGTGTCTCCAGCTTCTTTCCACTCTATCCTCTTTCCTCATGCCCTGGTCCCCAACACAGTCTCTTTCACCTCCCTCGGGAAGCCTTCCAGGAATATCATATCTGCACCTGTGGGAATGCTGGGGTCTCAGCGGACCCCTGGCCTTCTAGTTCTCCCTCTCATCAGCATCCTTCACCTGATGCTAGATCTGCAGCTCCCAAAGGGCAGAAGGTGCCCACAGCCGCCAGTTGGCACAGCTGTGCCCTGGGCTGGCAGAAAGGAAGGAAGTACTTACTGAGCAATGTTCTCTGTGGAAGCTGTGTCCGCATGCTGGGTGCTGGTGATTCGGCCCGTGCCGCTCTGGGTTGACACGGCTCCACTGGGTGTCCTGCGGGCTGGCAGCCACTTTATGCCCGACAGGGCGATTGGCCAACACCTCGTGAGGTGGGTGGGGAGGGGGAGGGGGGAAGGCAGGCCTTCTGGGAACATGACCCCAAAAACCAAAATCTCCACAGGCGGCCAATGGGCGCTGGGCGCCATGACAAGCCCGCTCCTCCTCCCGTTTTCTTCGAATTCGTTCTTCGAGGTCAGCCCCACGCCCAAGGATGATGTAAACCGCAGCCTCAGCCTTCTTGGGGTGAGCGGGCAGCACGGGGGTCCATGCCATCTTCAGGGAGTCAGTTCAGAGGTCAGAGCAGGAGCTGCAAAGCCAGGCCTCTGGAAGCCCAGGCCACCCTTGGCCCAGGAACCACCAACCTCACCGGACACCGAAGTTTAGGGCTAAAGGGGAGCTAGACATCTTCCTTGTTGAGTGCCCTTCCCACCCTCTCGCTTGGGCTGTCGGGACATCTGCAAGCGGAAACCACCAGACTCTGGGCACAGAGCCAGACTTGGGCCCCAAGATTGTGGCTCTAATCCTAGCCCAGCATCCTCTAGCATTTCCATTTCCCCCAGTAGCTGCCCCCTACATCCTTCCCAATCCCAGGTCCCCTCTCTGTAGGCAGGATCATCTAAGGAGACTTGGGTACTCAGAACAAGAGAGAGTAGAGACTAGATCTCAAACCTTCTGACATGCTGTGTGGTATGAGGCAAGTCACTTAACCACTCTGAGTCTCACCTGTGAAATGAAGAGGAGAAAAGCATTTCTTGGTTCACCTTACAAGGCCACTGCCAACATGGACATAAAAGGAAAAGACAAAACTCAAATTCCAAGTACTAGTTTTCGGGGGACGGGATACAGGGGGGCGGAGGAGATGGGGAAGCCGTGAGCTCAGAAGGGAAGCTGGAGGGGGGGGCTGCGGTGGCAGTTGGAGACCAGGTTTCACTTTCTCTGAAAGATAGTGATCCATCATGGGTGGGTCTTCTGCTTCTCAGCACTGGCTGAACGTAACCATTTATGGCCCTGGAGACAGTGTCTCCAGTTGGTGAGCTGCTTTACTGTGGTAAACTGAGACCCAGGGTGACCCAGGTCCACAGGCCATGCTTAGAAGCCCCGGCATGTCTACCAAGCTAGAATGAGCAGTCTCGGGCTGTAACCTCAGGGACCAGAGGTAGCCTGAGGAGGCTGGGGGTTGGCCTTGGGACTCTGGGGGGCCTGAGTTGCTTCAGCTGCGGGGACCCTGCAGAAAGAGCCCAGCCCCAGCTATACCCCTTGCCGCTGGTCCTCATGTATCCATTAAACAAACATCTTCATCCCCACTCCTCATCCAGAGGCAGCTGTGTCTCCACCCACCCACTCCCTGTACCCAGCAGGGTGCTACACTTGACAGCACCCCGCCAGGCTGGTCCAGGCTAGACCCCTCCTCCTGAGGTCTTCATTTCCTCCTGTTGAGTTTCTCACCTCTGCCCACTCCAGGGTGCTGTTCCCTAAGGGCTCTGGCCAGGGCTCCTTCTGCGGTTCACATCCCTGATGTCATCCTGGGACAGCTCCTTTGCCCCCTACACCCAGACCCTGCGGGAACTGCCTCATCTCACTGTAGCAGGGAGACAGAGGGAAGCTCTGAGCAGCCAGGTCTGGCTGGGGAACGTGTTGTGTTGTGTTGGCAAGAGGCCCTCCCTCGCCTCAGCGTTCCTTTCTCCCACCGTGGACCCTACACTAGCTCCTCCATTGAAAGCAAAGGCAGAAAGAGGTGCAGTTGCCCCCTTGGAGGCCACCCTGCAGCGTTGAGAGGGCACCCAAACCTGGCCTGGTGGAACACACTTGTAATCACAGCTTCTCAGGAGACTGAGGCAGGAGTGTGAACCAGAGGCCAGCCTGGGATAGGTAGGGAGACCCAATCTCAAAATAAAATCAGCAGGTGGGCACATGGTCCCAACACTCGGAAGTCAGTCGCTCACTCACTCCAAGTTCCAGGCCGGCCAGGAGACTCTGTCTCAAACTAATAAATTCAATTAAATCAAGTAAAAGGGGCTGCCAGTGTCCACCAAGGCTAGGTGCTGGCCTGGACACTTGATGTTCATAGCATCCTATTACTAAAGAAAAGAAAAGGAAGGAAGCCAGGTGGTGGCGATGCATTCCTTTAATCCCAGCACTCGGGAGGCAGAGGCAGGTGAATCTCTGTGAGTTCAAAGCCAGCCTGGGCTACAGAGCAAGTTCCAAGACAGTCACCAAAGAAACCCTGTCTTGAATAAACCAAAAATAAATAAATATTGGAGGAGGCCTCTTGTTGGTTTGGTTCCCAGCCACCCAGCTAGGTTAGACCCGAAATAATCACACAGAAACTGTATTAATTAAAACACTGCTTGGCCATTAGTTCTAGCTTCTTATTGGCTAACTCTTACATCTTAATTTAGTCCATTTCTATTAATCTGTGTAAAGGTTGTGGCCTACCAGCAAAGTTTCAGCACATCTGTCTCCAGCGGCGGCTCCGTCTCCAGCGGCAGCTTCATGGCGTCTGTCTCTCTCTCTCTGCCTTCCTTCTCCCAGCATTCAGCCCGGTTTTCTCCGCCTACCTAAGCTTGGCCCTATCAACAGGCCAAGGCAGTTTCTTAACTGCCTTCGTTAACCAATAAAAGCAACACAGAGACAGAAGGTATTTCTACACCAAATAATAAATAAATAATTAAAAAAGGAAGGGAAGTTCATGTCCCCCCACGCTCTTATCCGGGGGGCCAATCTGAGTGTTCTGCGCACAGAACTGTCACCCAGGGCAAGGTCTGCGTGTACGTATTCTTTCCTGGAACTGTCATCATTGGGTGCAACTGACCTTTGGTACACACAAGTGACTGATTTGGGGGTCTCCTTCCCAAAGGTACCAAAGTCTACAGAAACCTCGGACCCTTTTAAAAATGGCATAGTGTATGCACGGAACCTCTACACAGCCTCCTGTAGACAGAAACCTTCCCTAGATGGCATATAGTCCCCAGCAGAAGGCAAATGCCTCGTGCACACAACGGCGTCACTAGGGAATCACAGCAAAACATGTCTGCGCACATTCCTTACCGTGCCATCTCAGTCCAGTTTCATTTTCTGTGCACACCTCATTGAAGCCTCTGGACGGACGAGGGGAGGCACTGTCCCACAGGCTGAGCAGCCTCAACAAAAAGCGCACACCCTCCCATTGTAGAGCTAGACACTGGAACTGGTTCTTTCCCAGGGACAGTTCCTTAGCTGTTGATTTATTTAGGACAGTTCTCAGCTGCGTAGCCCAGGCTGGCCTCTGACTCACCCTGTAGTCCAGATTGGCCTCAGATTCTCATTCCTCTTGCTTTGGCCTCTCTAATGTTGGGATTGTTGGAATATGCCACACCACGTGGCTGCTCCGTGGCTTGTTGGTGGCCATGTTTTCCCAGTGTCCTTATATAGTTGTCTGCTTCTGCATTTTCTGTGTCCTGACCTCTTTGTATATGGTACATGCATGTCTGTGTACATACAAAGACAGGCACACGTACAACTTGTGTCTGTGCGTGTGGAGGCCAGAGCTCACAGTTAAGCATAGTTAAGTATCTTCCTCTGTTACTCTCCACATTTGTATATAAGAGTGTGTGTTTGTTTGTGTGTGTGTGTGTGCAGATATATGTGTGTGCATGTATATGCTGTGTGTGATAGTGGTGTGTGGATGCATGGGAGTGTGCGTGTGCACACGGAAGCCATAGGAGGACACTGCGCATCCTGTCTTACCCCTTGAGGTGGGACCTAGCATCCGATTCTGGAGCCAGGCTAGCAGTTGAAAACTCCAGACATTTCCGTTTCTATTCCTTACACAGTGCTGGGGTTGCAGTCCTGCATGACCACATCTGGCTTTTTACAAAGATTCCAGGGATTTGAACTCAGGTCCTCATGCTTGCAAAGCAAGCCCTTTACTGATGGAGCTGTCTCTCAGCCCCTAATTTTTTTCCTAATCAGTCATACTGACTCAAAGCCCCCCAATGACCCTTTTTGATTTACCTCTTGAAGAACACCATTTCCAAATACAGTCTCATCTGAGATATTGTGAGTTAGGATTTACACTGTGACTCCAGAAACAGGTTCCAGTCCATAACAGATTACAAGAGGAGTCAGGATTGGAGGGTGGGGACACCAGTGGAGGGTCCTTGGCGCTACACAGGAGCAGTGGGAGTGGCCCACAGGCCCAGAGGCGGGGACTCACTACCAGCCAGGCAAAGCGTGAGGGAAGATGCGTCAGCGATTCTGGTGAGGTCAGCTCCTAGTGACGTCGCCGTTATCGCCGACAGGAAAGGCTTGCAACAGCCAGTATAAATAGGATCCTCAACCACAGGGCCCGGGCTGTCCCCTCTTCCTGGGCCACGTCAGTTAGGTCCTCGTGATGCGGAGAGGAAGAGAGGGTGGGTTTGTTTCCTCAGAACTGCTATCTCCCAGTCTTTCCGACCCACCCTCTGGCTGCAAGGGCTCTGCCCCTTTAAATGCATGGCCAGGACCTGCCACGGCCTGAGGTGGGGTGCAGGAGGCTGCTCCACTGGGCAGAGTGGGTGGACCCTCACTTGCTGGGTCAGAGGTAGACGCAGATTCAAGTTGCAGTCCCTACGGCTCATGAGCCCCTTCTCAACTGAGTCACGCTCTCTCGGGGCCTCGGTTTCTCTTCCCTGTAAACCTCAGTGGCACAATACAACCACAAGATGCACGAACAATACAATTAAAAATGGGCAAAAGGTGTGGTAGCTCAGGCCTGTGATCCGAGCACTTGGAAAGGTGGAAGGAGGGGGATCAGGAGTTCAAGGTCAGCCTCAACTACCTGGGGAGCTCAAGGTCGACCTCAGCACGCAGTGAGACCAAGGTCAGCCTCAGCTACACAGTGAGATCAAAGTCAACTTCAGCACACAGTGAGTTCAAGGTCGGTTTCAGCTACACAGTGAGTTGAAAGTCAGCCTCAGCTACATGGTGAGATCAAGGCAGTCTGTGCTTCAGGAGATCCTGGGGATGAATGGGTGGGGTAATGAAACTGGGCAGAGTGTGCTGGAGATGGCACAGTCAATGAAGCCTTGGCCTGAATTTCATCCCCAGAACCCACAGAAAAATGCCAGGCATGGTGGCCTATTCCTGTGATCCTGGCAGCAGGGTGACAAAAATGACATCGCAGATGCTCACTAGCCAGCCTGACTGGTGAGCTCTGGGCTCAGAACAGACCCTGTCTCAAAGGAGGTTGTTGGTATTCCTAAGCATGACACCCAAACTTGTCTCTAGCTTCTGTGAGTGCACACACACACACACACACCCTTAACAAAGGATTTGATCAGACATTTTCTACTGAAGGAAAAGATACAGGACTGTCCTAGAAGTATCTGAAAGGTTGCTCGAAATTAGGAGATGTAGAGAGGTACAGAGCTACCACTGTACCACACCCTTATGGGCTGAGTCAGAGACAGACAGTAGCAAGCATTGGTGACAATACAGGGACACTAGAACCCTTGTACAATGCTGGCAGGAATGCAAGACATTGCCTGGAAAACAGACAAACACAAAGAATTAGCCCAGCAAGTCTGCTCCTGATGTGGGATTCCCTTCTGTATGCTGTGAATACCATTGGTGAATAAAGGAACTGCCTTGGCCTATTGCTAGGGTAGAGTAGAGCTAGATGGGGAAAACTAAACTGAATGCTGGGAGAAAGAAGGAGGAGTTGGAGAGAAGCCATGTAGCCCCGACGGACACAGATGCCAGAACTTTACCCGATAAGCCACAGCCTCATGGCAATACACAGATTAATAGAGATGAGCTAAATTAAGATGTAAGAGTAAGTCAATAAGAAGCTAGAGCTAATGGGTCAAGCAGTGATTTGATTAATACAGTTTCTGTGTGGTTATCTTGGGGCTGAGTTGCCAGAACTAACTAGCAGCCTCGTTACTACACACTCCTCCTAAACTCACACCCCAAAACACATCTAAATTGTACCATAGGCTAGTCCTCACTCTGTACCCTAGGCTAGTCTGCAATTCACTATACAGTCAAAATCGGTCCCAAACTCGTGTTCTAATAAGAAGCAAAACCAGAAAACACATGCCCACACACAAACCTGCAGGAATCAGAGGAGAGGTTATTTGCATTCCCCAAAAGCATAAGCCCAATGGCCAGAGGAAATGGATAAACAAAGTACAGATACACAACACAATGCAATATCAAGTCACAAAGACAGGTGAAGTACTGACATGTGCCACAACATGGACAAGCCTTGAGAAGCTTCCGTCCAAGGAAGGACGCCAATAGGAAAGGCCACTGACACAATGCAATGAAGATGATGCTCACACACGAGGTCAGGGAGGGCAGCAGGAGTGCGGGAACTCAGGGATGGGGAATGACTGCCAGCAGAACCTGGGGAGGAATGGCCGGACTATTCTAGAACCGGATAGTGGCCAGGCCCGTGTAACCCTGAATGAAGGAAACACACAGACTGGTACTATGAGGGCTGTACCTGCAGTGGCAATGCAGGCCTCCTCTTAATACAGTTAATGTCACTCAAGGGCTGAGCCTGGCCCTCAGTGGGAATTTGATAAACATGGACCTGGCACGTCGTGGGGCAGACGAAGGCACTCATTGGTTTATGTCACTGGGTGGCTTGGGGCGGTTGAGAAAGGCGTGGTTACGTAAGCTCTAGTGAGCGGGGACAAGCGGGTCAGAGAGGTCATGGGGCCCCAGGGATTCCTTGTTCTCCAGTTACCACAGAGTCTTCCTGGGCCCTGGCCTGCCGACAGGTGTGCTCTCTTCCTCCCCAGATGAGTAACCGACCCCCAGGGGTCTGAAGCCTGATTCAGAAGAGGGGAAGGAGAGACAAGAGTTCCTTCAGCTCTCCGCCTCTCTCTGACACACCAGCCACCAACACCACAGCTCTTGTGACCAGACCCGCCTCAGGGGAACCCAGACTGAGGGGAACCGGGGGTCAGTGACGACAGTCGTATCGACAAGCTGGCAACCGAGGAGACGTTGCCCAGCCGTCCACTGGCTAGTTACCCCAGGATGATCTCACTATCCACTAGGAGGCCAGGTCAAACCTGTAGGGTAAGAGAAGCCCAATGGCCACAGAAGGTCCAGGGCCCCCATAGAGCTGTGTCCCTCCAAGGGAACCACCATGTCCAATAGTGACAAGGTAGGAATTCAGTTGTGCGGCCGCATTGCTTGCGCTTGTAGAATCACTGCCCACTCTTTGAGCCGGGCTCTCATGGATCCCGGGCTGGCCTTGAGCCATTATGTGGCTGACACTGAACATCTGACCCCACCTCCTCCACTAGTGCCTGCCACAACAAAGACCTACAAGCTGTGGGGCTTGAATCCAGGGCTTCGTGCATGATAGGCAAGGAGTCTACTAACTGATCTACCTCCCCGGCCTTTGGAACACCTATTTTGAAATTCAGATTCTTGCTAAAATATTTGGGTTCCCTGGCCCCTCAAAACTAGATAGGTTTCTAGATTTTTTTCATGTGCCAGGCTTGGCATTACACACTTTTGCAGGGCACATCACCAGATTCTCATAACCGCTTTAGGAGCCAGCTCCATTTTGCAGATGGAGAAATTGAGGCATAGAAGGCAGGATCCTGAAAGGGGAGAAAATGCAGGTTGTAGCTCAGAAAGCCTTCCTAGGCCAAGGGACCAGCATGTTCAATGGATTGTCCAGAGCTGAAGCTGCCAAGTGACAGAAATGACAGTCTCTCCGCAGGGGCAAAGGTAAGCGGCACAGGACCAGGTAGGTGTGACCAAGAGTCCAATAGAGAGGGAGGAAAATGAGGAAGGAAAGTGTGTCCCGTGCTCAGGGTGCAGACAGGGCCCAGGATTCAGGAGGGGCTGAAGAGACCGCAGTTGGCATCAGCATGGACATCCAGATGTGGCCATCTGGAGCAGCCACAGCACAGAGGAGTCATGCCTGCCAACCTGCAGGATCCAGAAACGCTCGGCTGGCACATACGCACCAACACATCTGTGCCCAGGCTTCTGGAGGGACAGCACCCTGGGCTGCTGACTGGAGCAGCTGATCTCATGCGGTCCAGCTGCTTAGGTCCCTTCCAAAGGAATCAAGTCTCTGTCGCCCTTGTCACACCGGAGCATGTGATCATGTTTCTGGGCAGCTTTGAAAACATGCTGACTCTTTTATAGCATGTTCGAAAATTTGCCTTTTAGACTGCTCTAGATTGCAACACTTTTCCAGGAAAGCCAGCTGAGAGAAGAGAGTGCAGCATGGCATGTCCCCTCCTTTAGACAATTCACTTGGGCACCCATTCCACAAAAGTGGCACCTGCTGGTCTCACAAAGAAGGGAGGTGCCGTGGAAGGCTGACTTGTTTGTGTGTGTGTTTGTGTGTGCATGTGTGCTGTACACGGGTGTGCAGGCTAGAGGTCAATGCCCAGTGTCTTTCTCAATCACTCTCCACCTTATTTGTTTATTATTTATTTATTTTGAGGCAGGATCTCTCACTGAACCTGGGTCTCGCCAGCCTGACTGGACTGGCTGGCTATCCAGCAAGCTCTAGGGATCTACCTGTCTCTGTCCCCCCCCCCCAATACTGGGGTTATACCTGCACCATAGGCCCTGAATTTTGCGAGGATATTGGGCATCTAAACACAAATCCTCGTACATGCAAGACAGGCACATTACTGATTCTTTATTCTTAGGAGTTGAACACCAGAGACAATCAAGGAAGAGAAGTTATGGATGGGTGTGGTGACGCACGCCTTTATTTCCTGCATTCAGGAGGCAGAGGATCTTTAAATTTCAGGTCAGTCTGGTTTACATAGCAAGTTCCAGGACAGCGAGAGGAAGATGTGGGAGAAGGACTCCGGTGCCCACAGCAACAGCACTGGGTAACTGACTTGGGAAATGTAGTGAAGTCGCCGTCTTCCATGTGTGTTCTTGGGGAGACCCCAGGGGAAGTCCACATCATGATATAAGAAATTAATTTATCCTGTACCCAAGGAAAGAATTCATCATGCCGTTTCCAAGCACCTCCCGGTGCCCATGCAATGGAGGGGAGGGTGTTAAGGGGTTGCTGATCCCCGTGTTCTAGAATGAACTTAAAATCAGGATGGAGGAACCATACCAGCTTACTCAGACTCTGAGTCTAATAGGCTCAAGTGGGCAATCCCCAAATTTCTTCAAAAGATAATGAACAAACAAAACGCAGCATGCAATAGATATTACATGCAATGGGGTATTAGCACCCTGGAAGAGGACATGTTGACACATGCCACAGTGCAGATGACACTCCAGAACATTGAGCTAAGTGGGAGCAATGACACACAAGTCACACACTGTTGGTTGTGTGGTTCCACGAATAGGAACCAGGGAGGAAAATGCAGAGAGAATGTGGAGCGGTGGTGAGCACAGAAGGAGCAATGGGCGTGGCTGCTCATGTGTGCACGGCCTCCTTGCGGGTGGTGAAAAGGTTTGGAACTAAATGTGCCAAATACCATGGAATCACTGGATTGAAAATGGCCGTCAGCACACCTGTAATCCTAGCACTGGGGAGGCTGAGGCAGGAGGATCGTGACATGCAGACAAGACCCTGTCTCAAGAGAGAAAGGGGAAAAAATTTGCAAATTTTATGCCAACTTAAAAATTGGGGTAGAAGCTGGAGAGATGGCCCAGCAGTTAAGAACACTTGTTGCTCATGCAGAGGACCCGAATTCAGTTCCCAGCATCCATGGTTCACCCACAACTGCCTGCAACTCCAGTTCCTGAGGATCCGCCACCCTCTTCTGACATCTGCAGGCATTGCACACACGTGATGCATATACATGCAGGCAACACTCACATGCATAAAAACGAGGAACTAGGGAGATGGCGTGGGTAAAGAGCTTGGTGCACCAGCACAAGAACCTGAGTTCAGATCCCCAGCACCATGTAAAAGCCGGGCATGGTGGTGGGCATCTGAAACCCCAGCACTGGGGGTCAGGGACCAGTCAGTCTAGCAGGAACGTGGAGCTCTAGGTTCATTGAGACCCGACCTCAAAAACGAGGTGGCAAGCCATAGAGGAAGACACGTGGCTTTGACCACTGGCCTCCACAGACATGCATCCCTGCATCCACATACCCATGTGTCCATGCATGCACACACCATGCAAACACTAAGAAAAAAATTAAAGAAGAGCTTAAAAGCACAGCAAGGGCTTGGGGTGTTACTCAGTATGTGAGGGGCCCTTCAGTATGGAAGAGGGGGAGGAAAGAGATGGGTGAAAAGAAAGATGCAGGAAGGGAGACAGACATACAGCCACTTCGGGAAAGCCAAGGGGTTTCCAAGGTTACATGAGTGAGTGGGAGGCCCAGGGTCTGCTTGAGAAGGAGCACAGCTGTGGGGCTGTGTTCTCAAGGGACATGCCGGGGGACAACTCACTTGTGCAGTGCCAGGAAAGGGAACTGAGTCACTAAAGCCAGCAGAGACCAGGGCCAAGACCAGGAACAAGAACACCCATAGGGTACTGGGTGCTGATCAGGAGGCCCCGGGAGAGGCAGGGGCTGGAGGGTGGTTGTATCTTGGGGTCTAGGCAGACAGCTGTCGATGGTTGCTTTGGGGGCAGCAGGCAAGGGAACAGAGAGTGGGGTGTAGTGTGAGCACCTAGGAGAGCTGAAATGGAGGAAAGCAAGGGGGCAACCCCATCCTTGGGGAAACAGGGACCCTGGGAAGAAGCAACAGGGGCAGAGGGCACCTGTGATCATGTAAACACCAAAGATGCCCCCAATTCCTACACACATGCAGAGATAGAGTCAAGCCCACAGTGAACATTCATATAACACAGACACGTACACAGACAGACATCCACATGCTCACCAAAGAGGACTGGGTAATGACCACACCAGAACACTGTCCCTTCTCTATGTGTATAGGTGACTAGCAAAAATACACACATACACACACACAGAGCACCAATATCCATATGATGCCATAGCTAATCCCCTGGAAAGAAGTTCTGGGCATCACTATGACAAGCGCCCATGGCTCAGAACCCCAGCACCATGACTCTCTTGGGAAAGTGACAGACAGGGGCCATTGCTCAATATCTCCACCCTACTCGGCTCAGGGTCAGGGAGGAGCCAGGGCCAGACCTCGCGTGCCTGCCCACACAGCTGCTGTCAGCTGTCACCAGCAGCAGACACCCGGCCACCAACGCAGACAGCTTGGATTACAAGAGATCTGACAAAATCTTTCCCATCCTTCAGGGCTCCTCTAAACTAACTCTCTCTCTCTCTTTCTCTGTCTCTCTGTCTCTCTCTCTCTCTCACACACACGCACGCACACGCACGCACGCACGCACGCACACACACACACACACACACACACACACACACACACTTCTCAGGCCCGGTGGGCACACGGACCCTTTCAGAACCCTGATTTTGTGATTTTGTTAGCCCTAACTGTGTGGCCTTGAGCAAGCTACTTCAGTTCTGTGCTTCATTTCCATCTGCGTGAACTGAGGATGAGAAAGACCGTATGGGATGTGAACCAACAGGCCTACCCCTAACAGCCCTTCCCCAGAGGAGGGCACTGCATACCCCCTAACAGCCCTTCCCCACAGAGGAGGGCACCAAGATCAATGGGAGAAGCAGCCTCCTTGTGGGCATGCAGCACCAGCTGCAGACAATTTCACCTCCTGCTCCTGCCTCCTGGCTGTGTTTCCTGCAGGGCAGGATCCTGGCATTGTGTGGTGACAAGCACCTTCTTTTCTCACTCCTACAAAGGAGCAGGAGTCCAACTGTGAGGGCTGGGGAGATGGCTCCATGGTTAAGGGCACTGGCTGCTCTTCTAGAGGATCAGTTTCCAGCAGTCACATGGTAGCTCACAACAATCCATAACTCCGCTTCCAGGGGATCCGATTCCCTCTCCTGACCGCTGTGGGCACTAGACATGCACGTGCAGGCAAAACACACACATAAAATAAATAAATCTTTAAAAATTAAGATGAAAAAAACCCAACCGTGATGCAACTTGGCACACACAGGCCCAGGCAACCCTGAATTTCTGTTCCTATCCTGGAGGAAGACCTGAGATGGGTTCCTGTGTATTGACAAGATGGGAGAGGATGGAAATGGGCCCCAGCTGAGGTTTCCTCCTGTCCCATCTCAGCCGGAGCTGGACCCTGGGCTCTATGATGGAAGACTAAGCATCCCTTCCATTGCCTGTAGGGCAGACCTGCTGACCCAGCCCAGGCTGACCACACTGATGGCTCCAAGACCCCCAAAGAGGCTAATGGAGAACAGACGGGTTGGGTCTCAGCCTCTACCTCAGCCTGGAGACTGCTAGGCCCAACAGTGAAGATCAGCCTCCAGAGAGGAAACAGGCTGGCGTGAAAGCCCCTCTCTGAGGCACCAGGCTGGGCTGGAGACCCCCTCCTTGGGGCACCTTCTAAGCCCTGTGTCTGTGCCCCTCAAATGTCTTGAGGCCCCTTGAACTTAGTGGACCTGCTAGAGGCTAGAACCCCAGCCCTGAGACCCCAAGGATCCCAGTACCTTGAGAGTCAAGACCCTCCACACAGACAAGTCAGATGCAGACAGAGAAAGAAGTGAGCACACAGACACACTCACCAAGCTGTGCACACCGCCAACTAGGCTCATTGCATCTGCAGCCGGACGCCCCAGCCTTGGGGTGCTCCTGACCAGCCTTCTGGGCCAAGGTTCTGGCCCCCATCTGGATCAGACAGTGGGAAGCCCTGACAAGTAGCTGGGACCGGTAAGAACCTGGCTGAGGCCTGAGGCTTTTGAGAACCAGGACAACAGCACCCAAACCTGAGAGTGACTCATTGGCAGACCTCCCAAGTGGCACAGGGCCAGCTGGGTACAGGAGAAGCAGCCCTGATCGTCTTCACCCATCTCTAGGGCAGTCTGCCCACCACCCCAGCCCGAGCTTACACTAATCCCCAACTGCAGGAGACAGGAGTTCTCCATCCCATTCCCCAACCCAGCCAAACTCCAAGAAAATGCTCCCTCCCAGGGTCCCAGAAGGGAGTTATTCCTGGGCACGGAGAAACTGAGGCTGAGGAGGAGGACTGGCCAAGGTAACTTACCACTCACTCACCATGTCGGGCTGTGCTCTAGGCTCATCGGATCTGCAACCTGAGGCCGCAGCCTTGGGGTCCCCAGAACCACGTGGGCATACTGCCAGAAGCCTAGCCCATGTGTTGGCTTTTCTGGGGAGTCACTGTGACCTGGGTACACAGAAGTCACGCCCTTCTTCCCCTCCTGAGCATGGGTGGGTCTCAGCTGAAGGCATCTGATAACCTCCCAGGGCATGTGTGGGGCCCTGGCTGCTTCAATGGAGTCCTGGTCCTACTGAGCAGGAGGCCCCATGACAGAAAAACCCAGGTTCGGATGTGCCCAGACATATAACCCTGTAGGGCAAAGAGGGCTCCAAGTGGCCTCTAGGGTTCTGTTCTGTCTGCTTAGCCCTGCACCTCAGCGGGAAAAGGCCTGGCCACCATCTCAAATGTCATAAACTATGTGATTTCTCCACAAGAGGGGCATAAGAATTCGGGCAAGACACATAGGAATGTAGGCAGTAGCCTGGAGGAAGGTGTTTTGGGACCTCCTGGATAGGTTTCCCAGTGTCAAGATAGGGGACTCAGGTAAGAGGGACAGGGATTTCTCCCTGTATAGAACTCTAGGTCATCCTGTAACTAAGAATGAATGGACTCTAGCTTTGGCTGGGAACCATGTGACCTCGTCACAAATGCATTAGAGGCTTCAGTTACTCATCTGTCACATACATACTGCTCGAAAAGTCACGGAGGTGAGAGACCAAGACCTGACAACTGGCTGTCATTCAGAGCCTGAAGGCCCAGCTCAGAAAGTCTTTTATTTATTTAAACAGTCATAAAAATAAGAGTGAGATGTAAAAACCCTTTCCTTGGGAGCCCCAAGAAGGGAAGGCACTGTTGGAGCTCACCAGGCCAGGAAAGCAACCCAAGCTGGAGAGCAGAGCCCAGCTCAGGGCAGAAGGACCCAGTCAGCTGAGACGGGGACAGCTCGACCCTCGTGCAGGGACTGTGCAAACGCTGAGGTCATGTAGAAAGTGATGGGTTGGGGGTCTAAGCCCCAAGCACCAAGGTGTCCTTTCGGGCAGATATTTGGAGGCAGCACTGCCCACCCTGCCTAGGGGTGCACACATGTCCACGAGTGTCAGCTCCATGCAGCTTACATACACACAGCAGAACCAGGGTCCCTTGGTAGGAAGGATGAGGGGCTCATTCTGCAGCTTCAGGAAAGAGCTCAGAAAAGTCTCTGAGAGCCCCATGGTAAGGGAGTTCTGGGAGCCTTGTGTTCCCTATGGATCTTTGGAAGTCAGCCCTTCTGGCCTTCGCTCGAGTACACCAATGACACTGCTGATCCCATCCTCAGGCACCTGGGGTAAGGGCATAGCATGAAATGCCAGGGCTGAGTCTGGCCAGGGATGCCCAACTCCCCAAATCAGCTGGGATTTCTTCCTGTCCCCACCTCTGGGGCCTTGCAGGGACCTCCAGCCCAGTCCAGGCACTCACCAGCGCGTGGTCAAAGTTGAAGGTGCTGATGTAATAAGCAGAGATGTCCGCAGCTGCCAGGGGACCTGCGATCTGGGCCACAATCCCACATTCATCTGAGGGTTGGAGACACGGGTGGCTCAGGGTAAATGCTGTGGAGACCCATAGGCTTGTCCTAACCCCCAATTTGGGGTGTGTGTGGTTCTCACCAAAACCCAGGGGCTGTCCCCCGATGCGCACCATCCTCCACAGCTCTCCAGAGGAACTTGTCAGCAGGAGGTCGCTGGGGAACCTAGGGAGGCAGGTGGGTGACGGAAAGGGCACCCAAGCATCCCTAGCTACCCTGACCCCTAAGGCATATCCTCCTGCTAACCACGGAGTCTGGCACCCCACCTTCCCCTTCCCTGAGGCTAGCTGAGGGGCTATGACCTTCTTGGGGGTCGGGGAAGGGTTACGTACTTTTTCTGGGTCTCTGCATCCATAACAATGGAGATGTAACCCTCAATGAGGGAGAAAGCGAAGAACGGGATGGAGCTTGACTCAGGACCACTCGAGGCTGCCTCCCTGGGGACACTGGAGAGGGATGACAGGGTCAAGGGCTCTGCCAGGCACATGGCCCTCTCCGTTTCCTGAATACCAGACTACAGAGGAGCCAGAAGAATGGCTCTGGAAAGGGCCTCATGAGAGAATCCTGATTTCCTAAGGGACAAGCCCTAACTGCCAAAACCCAAGGGCCTTGGGCAGAGGGCCTGACTGGGGTGTATGTGGTTTGGAGTGGCTCTGTCAACACCTCTGGCTGAGGGCTACTGGGCTGTCAGGAACCCTAAGGCACTGAGGACACAGAGTGACAGAAGGGATGGATGAGACAAAGGTCAGAGTGCATGGAGCAATAGTGAGGCCAGAGATCAAGTGCATGCATGACCCACCTGTGTGAGTAGAAGAGGACATCGATGAGGGTGGTGGCAATAGCCGGCAATGTCTCAGGGTCCAGTGTGAGGACACAAAATCGGTTCTGCGGGCTCTGAATGGGATGCACGGTGGGGCCGGGCCCTGCTAGAGACACAGAGGCCGTAAGATAAAAAGGCAATCCTGGGCTGGGGCGACCCCTGGTGGCCGGGTAAGGAAGGGCTTGGGTGTACCTATTCCACACATTGAGAAACACCCATCCCAGCCCTTCGAAAGACAAGCCCTCCTGTGGGGAAAGGTCCCACCGAAATCTGGGTATTGGAGGGCAGACTTTACCGTGCTGGGCTCGTGGAAAGCCGTTGCTCGAATCGTCCTTGGCAACCGGAACAGGCTCCCCACCTACTTCACGGTAGATTTGGAACTCCTGGGCCAGTGTATGGATCACTACAGACAGGTCCTGCTCCCGAACCTGGGTCAAGGCAAACGGCACACATTACGGAGACCCAGGCACCTCAGCTCCCGCCCTGCCACAGCACCTGCCCAAACCCACCAGGATGAAGTCTGTCTGGTACGTGGACAGCATCAACACAGACACGTGGTGCTCGGCCAGCGGAGCAATGACAGACCGGGCAATCTTGGTAACACCAGCAGCCTGCATCACGGCCCCACTGTGGGATGATACGTTCATCACCAGCCATGTGGCCTCGGCCACTTGCAGGAACTCGGATGGGGGTAGCTCTGTGGGCAGGAGGTACATGAACCTTAGCAAGTTCTAGCAAGGCAGGTCAGGACTGGAGCTCATGGCTGTCTCTCCTCAGTTCTGCCTCCGTGTGTATGAAGGCATTCTCAAACTCAGAACTAGGGTGACATCCTAGCTTTACCATTTTGCTGTGAGACTTGAGACAAGTGGTTGCTCATTGCTTGTTTCCTGTGAGGCCGTGTCTTACGATGTAGATTAGGTTGGGCTTGAACTCAAATTGATCCTTTTGCCATAGCCTCCTAAGTGCTGGGATTGCAAGCCCTGTTTAGTCTCGGTTTCCTACCTGCAAAATGGGATATTCCTCAGGACTTTTCTGTGGGCTGATTGACTTCATCGCACCACCAGAGGGCGCGAGCGACCTACTGATGGGGAGGTGCTCCCTTGCAGGCAAGAGCTTTCCTTGCAAAACAGGGAAACTAAGTCCTTTGGGAGGGCGGCTAGGCCAAACTCCAGGTGGCTGGCTTGAGACTCCAGGCCTTAGAGGCCAGGCCAGGCAGGCAGAAGTTGGAGTCAGAAGTCAGCTCCCAGGTTCCAGTGCTGAAGAGGGACAAGGGCCAGGGTGACTGTTGTTCGCCCAAGCACAGCCAGGAGGCCCCAGGACCTTGCTCTGGGCTTGCTGCCTGTTCCTGCATTCCTTCCCCAACCCTCAGACTCCTAGACTTCCCAGGCCAGTAAAAGAGAAGCTGGCTTTCACTGGGGAGCTAATTCCAAGAAGAAACAATGACCAGGGGTTAAAACAGCTACAGGTGTTTTAGCTACAGCTAAACCACCTTAATCTGGCCTAAAACAGTGAGACCCCCCCACCGCCTTGCTGGCCTGGGACTCATATCCAGCCCTTTGTGGCCTTTAAATTTATAAAAATCTCATAAATACTGTTAAACTGCCATGACTACATCTTAGATATGAGAAAACAGTGAGGGGTGGAGGTTCGAATCCAGATCCATATGCCTTTGAGTCCTAAGCTCTCTGGAAGCTGTGCCTGGTAAGAATAGGGCTTAGAGGTGAGCAAGGAGTCAGTTCCCACCTTGAAAGCCCTCCTCATCCACCATGAGTGTGTAATCTTCCGGGGTCTCCGTCAGGCTGAAGAACTTGCACCTAGTGGGGAAGGAAGGGGTGGGAAGACTTTCAGGCTGGAGAGGACAAGCGAACTTTGCTCCAGCAGCACTAAAGGACCCCCCGCCAGGCGCCTTCCTGACCCGCCCTCAGGCTTCAGTTTCTTCCTCGGAGCAATGTGGTCTGGGTCCAACGTCTGGGATCTCCTGCTGTTTTCCAACTCCAGATCTCCCCTTCATTCCACACTCTAGAGGTATCGGGCTTTGGGTTCCCCTAGCCAACTCTTACACTTTCCGTGGAGTCTGGGAAAGGGCTGAGGTAGGGCTAGAAGGCATGCTCCACTACACTGCCTATCCCAGGCAGTTTGCACCTTGACAAGCCCTGCAAGAGGATTGCTCCAGGCCGGATAGGCGGCGTCTCAGAAAGGGTAATCCCCGGCCAGATGGCGGCCAGAGAGGACAGCGTCCCCACCCGGTACACGCCGCTCCCTCGCGGCGACCCTAATCCTCTGCCCCTGGCCTGGAGTGACAGAGGAGCCCCCACCCATCTGACCTGCGCCCCTGAACCCGGGTGCGCACCGGCTGCGATGGGGCAGGAAGAGCAGCTTGATGAGAGGGTGGGTGTAGAGCCAGAGGCCCGGGCGGGCGAGGCTCAGTACCCGCACCCGGTGCTCTAGAATGTGGAGTTCCATCGTAGATCGCGCGGCCACGGCCCCGCCGCCAGCTAGACCCAGGCAGTGGCGGGGCGGCGCCCGGCTTAAAGGAGCCGCGCTGAGGGGCTCCGCACCGCCCGCTACGCCGCGGGCCCGCCCAGTCACCGACCCAC